GTGAACCATTGCAGGGAGCAAGTTTTGGACCCGGGTAGTCACATGGCCCAGTTGCCCAATGGGTGAGGCGTTGCCCACAGCCCCCCAGCTATTGCAATTGCAGCCAAGCTGGCTGGCTGGCTCGCCACTTCATCCAATTTGGATTGGCTGCCAAGAAGGGGATGTTGTACTTGGAAAGGTGGTCTGCCCACCACTGGCCATTCCTCTAGAGTCGCAATGACCAAGAGTGCACAACAAACAGCAACATAGCACCTGGCTGGCTCTGCCAAACTGGCCCTGAACTGCCAACAGCAAAAGGACTGCAGCAGTTTGTGTCCACCTAACCAAACAGCCAGGGAGCTCTTTCTTCTGGCAGTTGAGAATGGCCACCGGCACATTGTCAAAGTCGAAGTCTGGGAACATCTTGTCCGGGTCAAACTTATCCATGGGCCCCACATACACGCATTGTCCGCAATCTGTGAAGCCAGCGTCCTCAAGCTCCTGGTCAGGAGCAGACAAGGAGCATGGTTGGTGGTTGCGTGCGCCTGCCAGCCCAATGCAAGCTACAGTCATGTTTAAGCTGGGGGCAAGTACTGTGTTCTGAGGCAAGCTCCTGTGGGATCTGCTGTGCCTCCTGTGGGATCTGCGTGCCTCCATCATCCCAGGACTCATCCTTCTCCTGCCAAAGTAAGCCAAGCTGATTCCTTGTCCCCATTACTGCATTCAGCAAGAAGTGTGCACCAGGGCTAGTGGTGGCCTATCCCAAACTTCATGAAACAGAGCGGGCTTACCTTTATTTCTTTCAACTTGGCAGTTGGTTCGTTCCTACAAAGACAGTCACTGAGTCATCCTCAGCTGCTGCCTGGGCCTCCTCCGGCGCTGCCTGGGCACATGCTCATCCAGGCATGGAAGGAAGGCAGGCACAAGGACAAGGAAGTGGCCTCCTCACCAACTGCAGAATCATCATTTGAATCAACTTCATACACCTGGCCACGCAAACAATGAATACCAGACTTTGGCAGCCCAGAGCCCCTGCCTTGTGCCTCTTGGCCACAGGCATACTCTTGGCAGCAGGTGCGGAAGGCCTCTTCTTGGAAGCAGGCTTGGTGGCCCTGGTGGCTGACAGTTTGCCACCAATGGGTGGAGGGCCAGTGGCTGGCTGACGCAGGCCAGAGGTGGCTTGCTGATGCAGGCCTGAAGGCTTGCTGGCCTGAGGCAAGCCTGAAGGCCTGCTGGCCTGATGCAGGCCTGGGGGCCTGCTGGCCTGAGGCCTGCTGGCCTGATGCAGCGAAGGCTTGCCGGCCCTCCAGGCCTGGCTCTCCACAGCCACCTGACTCTCCACATGCTACAACACTGAATGACAAGTGACAAGCCACATGTGCCAATGCCAGGCCGTTGACTGAACAAGGGATAGCACATGCCCCACCATCAGTGGCTAAAAAGTAAGTGTGTCATTAAAATTCTGCCACACACACACACACATACATGCACACACGCCTCGCCTCCTCAAACTGCTCCTCCGCAGGCGGCTCCTCATACTCCTCCCCATGCTCCTCTTCCAGATATTCCTCTGCCTGCATTTGAAAGGCACCAAAAAGCAAGCACCTGAGACATGCCAAAGCCTCTTGCTGCTCCTGCAATGCTAAGGCTCCAGTCCAGGAATTCCAGGCCTTTTGATGCTCCTTCCAAGAAGCACCCAAGAAACACCATCAAAGCTGTCAGCCAGTCTCAGTGTTTAACAGACAATGAATGATTGCTTACTTCTTCTCCCCAACACAAGATGACAAGGAACCAATGATGATGATGATGATGATGATGATGATGATGATGATGATGATGATGATGATGATGATGATGATGATGATGATGATGATGATGATGATGATGATGATGATGATGATGATGATGATGATGATGATGATGATGATGATGATGATGATGATGATGATGATGATGATGACGGTGGTGGGGGTGATGATGATGATGATCTACTGAATCCCGTTCCTTTGCCTGTTGAGGCCGGGCAGGAGGTTGATGACCCATCAATGCCTTCTCCTTAGCCAAGCAGGACAAGGCTTCAGAATTGTGCCCTCAGCAAAGAAGTTCCTAGATAGGCAAATGCCAGCAGCTGAGAAAAGCGCCAGCCGGTTCCTGGCTGCTCGCACTTGATCCTCAGTTAGCCCCCACACACACGCGCATTCTCTCTTTGGCACACGCACATTTATGACTGTCATGTTCTTGCCAATTTAGTCTGGCGTCTCTGGCAAGCTGGCAGGGTGGCTTCCTTCTTGTGCCAACCTCATTCTGGTTCTGAATGATGTAGAGGTTGTTCACATACATGGCTGAAAAGCTGCCACAGCCAACAGCCCTTGAGCCTACACCTGCTGCATCACAGAGATCAAGCAACTTGCTTGCAGCAGCCCTGAACCACAACTGCAACCACATCTTGCTGGCAAATCCAAGAAAATCAAGAGGCATCAGGCTGTAAGAGAAGTGCAAGATTGCATGGGGGAGCTAACGATACAGAGCTTGCCAAAGGATGACGGCATTCACAATGGCACATGAGTTTTGATGAAAAGATAGCCCCTTACTGTTACCAGCAATTGTTCCTTGTCAAGACATATAGAACCCCCTGCAATAACATACACCCAAAATCAAGGCGCTTGGAATGCAAGGCGCTGTCGGCTGGCTTGTCTGGGCCCAAGGCAGGTTGGATGTCCTGGCACACCTCCAAGGGCAGCAGGCCTCAGCCAGAAAGCGGCCAGGGTGAGAGGCAGTGAGTCAGGGTTCCCTGCACCAAGCCCGTTTGGGTAGCAACTTACAGTTACATCAACTCAGGATTAGCTCACAAAGCATGTTCAGTGCACTGAGGATGGTCTGAGGCACCAACAGGCAAGCAACCTGAGCATGGCTGATGGAACCCCTCATGAAGAGGCTAGGGTGGGTTGCAGCCATGCCTTGGAAAGCCAAGGCATGGAGGGGCAAGGGTAAAGGATAGCTTGGTAGGTCAGGGGAGCTCAAGCTTCTGATTGCAGAAGCACTAGGCCAAACAGCATTTTGTTGTTGACATCAACGCTCCATTGGAATATGTTTTTGCAGCCATTTCACAATGACAGATTGTTTATGGACCAGCCCATGGGTACTGTCAGAATTTGAGCCTTGGCTGGGTGGCAGAAAAGCAGGTCAGACATCTCACCTGTGGGCTTGAACGTTTTCTTGTTGGAAACAGCTGCCATCAACCACACACACACAGAGTGTTCCCTGATTATCCACTGGGTTGTCCCTGCATCTTTGGTGCTGATTGAATTTCTTGGGCGGGACACTCCAAGACATGAGGAGCAATGAGTGCCCTGAGGGCTTAGCAAAGTTCCAGAGAAACAGTTGGCAGTTTCAAAATGCCTTGTGCAATACTGGAGGCTACCCAAATTCAGCAGTGGCCAGAACAGTACATTGCATTCACTTAGTGCTGTTTGGAATGGCATGTTAGCCCAGCCCTCTGCCCAGCCAGCCTTTGCACTGCCTAGAAAGCTGTGTGCAGACCTCAGTCAGACCTCAGTCAGTGTCTGAACCTTAGTATGCAGCAGGCTCCGCTCTGCTGGGACCTTAGTGAACTAAGCCTTAGTATTGCAGGGTTTGAGCCTTAGTGTCCTGCTGCCCCTTTTTGCGGCTGCTTTTATGGTTGACGGCAAGTGTGCAAATGCAGCATGGCTGCAAGTGAAAGCATAGAGCTGACTGAAGCTTCATTTCAATTTGACTTTTGGTGCTATGGTCAAATGGAAACTTAGGACCAGAAATTTCTGAACGCCACTACCCAGACACCTTGCAGCCTACACTTTGCCCACCTGCTCCCTGACAACTATACATGTCCCATGCTTGCAAAGTGTTCTTGTACATCCCTTCCTGTAAATCCAGGGCTCAAACAACCATGTGATGCATTTAAGATTAAAATTCACCATGAAGCTTTGGGATTCAGTTATTGCTGCAAGTAATCTTGTGCTTCAATGCTGCAAAGAGAACCAATCACTATTTAGCTTCATGATGTTGAACAGCAAGTTTGAAAAAGGTGGCCCCAATGCGAATGACATCTCAGGTGATGAACTAGCAGGTCCTGTGTTTTCCAAATGGTTGTGCCCTCTGTGCTGGCAAGTACTTTTCAGTTGTTACAGTTCTAAAGCAAAGCAGGGGTATGGACCACTAGGCCATTCAATATTGCAGTCTTGGTGCAGGCTAAAGTGCCCCATGACCATCCTCCCTGTCTGGCCAAGCCTGCTTGGTCATCTTTACCACGTGCCCAAAAAAAAGGTGCGCTTTTCAGCGCTACCCGCTTTTCAGCGGTGCCTATGTTTTTACCCTCCCTCCCTCCCTGTGAACTGCTGCTCCAAGTATTCCATGAAGTAGTCCGAGCCACAGTGCAGGGGGTGGGCACAGGGAAGGGTTGGGATGTGGGCACAGGGAAGGGTTGGGATGTGGGCAGGCAAATGTAACTGTGGGGGGGGGGACATCCTTGGGGAGTGGGAAGTGAGACAGTTGGAGGGCATGTGGCACATGAAGAAAGGACACCTTGGAAGTGGGAGGGTGGGTGGAAGTGGGAGGGTGGGAGGGTGGAAGTGGCATGTTGATGAGGAATGATTGGCATGCCCTGCCCCCCCCCAACCTCAAATCATGGGCAAACACTGGTATCTTAGAATGTTGGTGCCTGTATCTTAGTTCCATTTCTTCTGGTTTAGTGGTTATTTCCCCCTGGTTTTCACGGGGATCGATTTCACTACTGGGCATACCGCAAAAAAGGCGAGAGTATCTTTTCCCAGTGACAGTTATCACCCTAAAATCCAGCAGTGATACTTGACAGTTATCATCCAAATATCCAGCAGTGATACTGACAGTTGCATTTTCCCCTGTCTTTTCTTTAGTTGACATTTTGTTGATGTTCCCTTGATTTTCCTCTTTCTTTAGTGATAGTATCTTTTAACCTTTTCGATTTCACTGCCGGGTTTTCTTTTTTAAGGGGTAAAAAAGCCGAGGCCAGAGACACCTCGGTCAGCCCCGGGGCCCGCAGTGCCCCCGGCCCCGGCAATGGCGGCGGAGACGCGGACTCGCCCGGAGACGCCAAATCTACGGCCGGGCGAAGCAAAATCTCACTGTTGCTGGATCATGCTATTGGATGTGTTAGGTTTTTTGATGTTTTTGGTTCTGTTCATTTCTAGGGGTATTCAAGAAACATGTGTTTGTTTAAGGTTTGTTTTCTTGTCTTCTTGGTTCTGTTTAGGACTGCTTAGAGAAACAGAGTCCTTTTGTTTTTTAGGTTCGTTTTCTTGGTTCTGTTGGCTGCTTGGAGAAACCGAAGCCGTGTTTTTTTGCAAGGCCATAGCGTTTGGGTTGGAGAAATCTCAATCCGTGAGCTCCTGGACGGAGACTTTCAGGTACTGCGTCCCCCAGCTTGGTACCCTTCTCTTTTACCCTTTTTTGGTTGGGAGGGCTCAATTCCCTACTGAAAATAGACAAAACCGAGAAAAAAAAAGAAAAAAACCAAGTTGGTACCAACTTTTTTCTAACCCCTCAAATCTGGAGGAGCGAAGGTAACCCCGGTGTTGGTTTGGCAGAGCCCTGGATTTGGATTTGAGGGTAAAGGGGACACCCAACCTCCAAACCGCCGGGCTCCATTTTTCAGCAATGAGAAGGACAGCGAATGCTTTTTGCGAGGTCTTGGGTTGTCCATTTGAATTCCCGGCTTTCAGCCGGAGGAGGGGGAGGAGGGGTCCTTTCTTGTGGCTCGCTTGAAACGCTGGCAACGCGAGCCTTGCTTTGGTTGGTGACCAAGCCGTGGGTGATCACCTGTTGTGGACGTATGGAGACCATTGTGACGGATAGACGAAAATTTTGGACTGGCTTTCAGTGAGAAATAGCTTGGTTTCTGTTGGCTTCCGACCAGCGTTGTGTTTTCGTTTCCTAGATGTTTGCATATGTTTACACTTTCCAGCGACAAGACTCTCACCAACAAACATGGTTTGGTGCGCAGGTCATTTTTTGGAAGAAGGGCCTGTGAACATGTTTTTGTTTGAAAGGATCTTGTCAAGTATCAAACTAATTGCAAACAGTCAGGGTGTTATGGTAAGTAAGCCATATGGGATGGTGGTTCCTGCTTCCCTCCTATCGAACCAGGCCAGTGGATCCATTTACCTTTGTAACCTTGCCACAATTGAAGCAAAAAGGAAATTAGCGAAGGGTTACCCACTCGCCAGGTAACCCCTTGTTGGATTGGTGGTTTGGGGATTTGAGCCCTGGAGTTTGTCGAATGCAAATGTGAACCCACCCCTTGAGAATATGTTTAAGGTTCCCCCGATTTTTTTTGATAAAAACTATCAAAATTGCATTTATGTGTTTTTTTCCAGGGGGCGAAAAAGCAAATGGAAGGATTCACTGGGCAACAGCAACTCCGGTGCCCTCGTTTTCGGGTCAGATCCGCTGGCCATTTTTTTTGCAGGCCTAAGACGCCGAGATCCTATGGCCCAAAGAGGGAGGACCGGGAGATGCGCCGCTCGGCTCGCGAATGGTTCTTCCATTAGCCGATGAATATCTATATATATATATACATACATGTATCTGTATACATGTATATATATTTATTATGTGCTGTATACATGTTTGTCTACACATGTAAAATTTCATACATGTTCACACCTATTTGTATAAATACATATATATGCAGGGCTTTACAGATATATTATATATAGTATTATTTCACTGCCTGAGTTTATAGACTCTGAACTTTTTGGGAAGACCACGTTGGTGGCAAGGAACATGTGTGTTTTGTGTTTGCCTGTCCGCTTAGGAACTGAGTATTCCCTGTTGGTTTAAAGAGAATCTAAGAACCTATCACTACTGGACAATTCGGTTATTTTTTCTAGGCTGGAAGCGTTTGTGTGACTCAATCCCCTGTGGGTTAATGGTTGTCCACCCCAGGTAAAGTTGGATGTGAAACCACAAACAGAAATGCAAAACATACCAACTGACTGAGAGGATTCCCTGAACCAGTGCTGCTTGGATGTATCCTTTAAGGAACCATGTAAACATACAGGGAACATGGTCAACATGTCCAGCTGGGAGAGACATTGGGGCACAGTGCCTTTCCGGGCGCCTGCATCTTGGTTTTAGTAGGCAGCCCTTGGCTGCATGCCTCCCAGGTTTTAGCATGGGCGGTTTTTGTTCCCTTTGCTGCTTCCAGCGGCCAAAAGCCTGGTGAAGCCCTGGCTTTCTCTGAGGGTTTTTGTAGTACGGGGTTACTCCCTTGGGAATGACCCAGAATGGCTCAACAAAAACACGGCTTTATCCGGACATTTCCCTAAATGGCATCAATACTCAGGTGTAGTCCCAGAATTTAATACAAAAACCCTTAGACTTTCGGATTTTCCCAGCGTGACGTCCAAGCGCTTCGGCGGATGCAGGCAGTCCTGTGGTCAGCCCGGACGCCAGCCCCGCCGAGTCCGCCTCCGGCCGCGTGTTGCACAGCCCGGACCCTGCAAGTCCACAGCGTGGCGCCTCCTTTGGCTCGGCAGCTCGCCTGAATGCTTCCCCAGAATTGGCTGTGGCTCAAAAAGATGTACCAAAATGGCACCTTGGTAAATGGAACCAAAGACTAAAACCTGCGTAACCCTGGCTCTTCAATTAGTTCCACCTTTTGTTTGTTTTGCTTTTTGGGGGTCCCCTTGTTTTCCACTACCCAGGCAGAAATATTGTTTGCTGGGGTCCTAATTCCAGCGAAGAATGGAATCCCATCCAGGCAAAGTGGTATTTCAACTGGCACCTTACATTCTGTGAATGAAGCACTCTGTGGTGTGTTTCCACTTCTGAGCAACTGGAAAACAACCCTAGCGGTTTCAATTGGGTGCGTGAAAGGTGGGAAGTTGAGAGTTGATCCGCCAGGGCGGCTGAATTGAGAGCCGTCCAACGAAAAGGCTTCCCAAAGCCGGGTTCCTTCGAGGTTCTAGCGCCGGGAACGCCTCGAGTTCAGACAGAAGGGCCGGGGTGTCCGATCCCGAAACGAGTGGTTGTGGCTCAAAATGAGCCAAGGAGATATAGAGTCAGGAAACGGTTAGTCTAAACTGGTGAGCTTTGAGCCCGGAGGGTGAAAAGGCGCCGAACGCCGAACATCCATCCCCTTGGGTGTAAAAAAGCTTCGTAGGTGACAACCTTGATAGGAGCCCCCCCCCCCCCCCACCCGGGGAACGGAAGGCCAAGGCTTAGGTTGGGCGCACCGGGCGCACCGAGCCCCGCCGCCTGAAAGTCTACTCAGTTGCTGGGGAGCAAATGAATCGACGGGATCTGAAGTTTTTGGTTGCCCCTTGGCCATGAGAAAGTCATGACCTGAAATAGTGACCTCGTATTGCTGGGTCAATTCAACTGAGTCGTCCAGGTTAAGAGCTTGCGGTTTCCACATGTAAAACCGGCAAGTGCGGCCATGTCCAGATCGTGGCCCCTTTCGGGAAAGCAACCCGGACCTTTAAACTTTCGCATGTACTTTGAGGGGCCCTGCCAATGCGAAGCCGAAAGCGCCATCTCGAGGCAGTTTCTGTTCAATCATGTTTGACTCACTTCCTGAGTTCCTGGACTTGAAGCCTTCTGGGAAGACCATGACGACTGCTTAAGTCACAAACAGTCCAGAGACTGGTTTTGGTCAAATCCAACGTTGGTAAGCCTCCATTTGCTTAAGAATATAGTTTTTTTTGATTTTTTGCTGGTGTTAAAAGGAATGTATTATTATTGGATACATTTGTTTCCTGGGGCCTGAACCAAATGGAAGTTCAGAGACGGTTTTTGGTCAAATCCACTCAGGAGGTGACCTGACATGCTTGGCCCAACGTTAGTAAGGACACCTCCTGGGTCCACGGCCGTGGTGCGGTGCGCGCGCACGCGCCCCGCGGCTTCCATGAGCCGAAGGTCTCGTTTGCGCCGCATCGAGAGCGCGGGGGGAGATGGGCGCATCCCACAGTCGCCTCGGGGATCTAGAGGTTAGATACCACAGGGGTCCCCATATTGACACATTTTGCTCTTTTTGGCTGGTTTTCAACATCACCTTTTTCTTTGCTAGTTTTTAACATTCTCTAGAGTTTTGGCTGGTTTTCAACATCACCTTTTTTGGGCCCAAGGTGAGTGTCCCTTGGTCCCTTGGTGTGATATTGTTCTTTTCAGGGGAAAAATGTGGGGAGCCCTGTGCCAATAGCTTGGGAGCCGGACGAAGTGCTTAAAGCACTGTTCGCTTGCCGTGCTCTTGCGGATCTCCAACTCCAATTGTCCAGAGATTTGGAGGGGGCAATTCGATTGTCAATTGGCCGTGTCTCTCAAAATGAGTCAAAAGTGTCCTAATGATTTTATTCTCGTGTTTGTAAGGGGTTGTTGTGACGCGGGCAGTGGCCCGATTCGACACAGCTGAAGACTCCCGGTGGATGAACCGTCTCCGGGTTCGTTTCACCAGGTGCTAGCTAAAGCTGGCATGAATCCCAAAGGTGAGAAAAAAACAAAATCGCCCAACATGGCTATTAAGGTCTAATAAGAGCTATTAGGCCTTAGCTTCTATTTCCTAGCAAAGGTCCCCTGAGCTCCAGGGCGGCTTTGAGCCGGGAGGGGGGCTCTGAGTTGCACCATGCGAATCGACTTGAGAGTAGGTCCCCCAGTAGTGCCCTTTTACCTTTTTTTTGGGGGGGAGGGTTCCCCGACTAAAATAGACAAAACCGAGAAACAAAAGAAGAACAACAAGTGGGTAGCCTTATTCCAACCTGTCTACTGGAGGACCTAGGAAATGACCTTTTAGTCTTTTAGTTCACGCCGGGTACAAACCCACCCGCGCGTTTTTTTGCGTGTCTTCGGTTTTTGCGCTTGAATTCTCAGGCAGTTTGACAAAACGTGCATCTTTGTGGGTCTTTGAACATCCCGGTAACTAACTCATTTCAGAGTAAAGCCGCGCATTTTTTGTTCTAGTCAGGACACATGGCAGGGAGACGTGGGCTGCCAGAAGCCGGGGCACCGGCTGGAGACATGTCCTATCCCAGTGGAACTTGAAATCCGCCGCCTTCGTGGACTGCGTTGTTTGTTGTTTCGCTTGAGCGGGTGCACTTGAGCGGGTGTTCTTACTATTCGGCATGCCTGCGTGCAGCGCTGACATGGTGCACTTCAGCAAGTGTTCTTACCATTTGGCATGCGTGTGTGCAGTGACCAGCGGGTGCACTTCAGCGGGTGTTCTTACCATATGGCATGCGTGTGTGCTGTGCTGAGCGGGTGCTCTTGAGAGGGTTGTCTTACCATGTTGGCGGGGGTAAAAACCACTTCGACTTGCGGGTGGGTAAATACCCGGTACCTTTTAGTTTCCCCCTTTTTGGTCCATTGGCCCTTGGCCCCTGTTTGGAAAGAACTGTCTTTCCAGGGGCATAACTGTGTTCTGCGTGGAATGATATAATCCCAAGTAGCCTTTGCCGGTCGATTCGAAGCCTTTAGGAATGCAAGGAAGCGGTTTCGACTTGTCAGCGTAACAAAGGGGCGGATTTGCAGCGTCCCTCCGGACTTTCGGGGCATATCTGGGTTACTGGATGCCTTTGGAGAAAGATGCGGCTTGGGTTCGGTAGGACATTTGGATACAACTTGGGATGCATCAATACTGCGGATGGACGCAATATCCGTTCGCACCACCGTGCAGAAACTCCGGAAAGATTCGATTCCCCTGTAAATGTCGTAGCGAACAATGGCTTCAACCATGGTTTCAAAGTGGTGCGAACGGATTTTGTGCATCCACAATACTACCAACAAGCGACCATCATAAGCACATTCGAAAGTATGACGTCTGGAAAACGGCTGGAGTTGCTCGGAGCAAGTCAACAGACGTGTAGTACATAGTGTTCCGGCTTGCCAGTTTTTTTCTTATTCCGAATGGCTCTGACAAATGGGAGCCCCACAATACAGATCTTTGATCTATTTGTTCTCCCTATCCATTCTGGGCAAGTGTTAGGCCGCACAACCGAGCTCGCGCTTGTTCCGAGAGCCCAAGCTGAAAGTGAATCAGACATCTGGCGGGTTCCAACCTCCAGCTCCCACGGTCTTTCCGGAGCCAAACGACCAACGCTCCCCCATGGCTCGTGGAGCAGTCCCAACGGGGATGGTCAGATTGGGCTTCAAGGGGGAATGAAGTGGCCGGATCTCCCGCAGCATGTCTCCGAAAAGTACAGGACCTCGCATGGGCGGCATGGTGCCGCAAGTATGTAGGTTTTTGCTCAGCAATTCTGTAGGAACAATGTTTCGGCAGAAGGGGTTGAGTCCCTTTCTAGGTCCCCCAGTAGTGCCCTTTTACCTTTTTTTGGGCGAGGCTTGCCCTACTAAAATAGAAAAGGGCACCCTTATTCTAACCCCTCTATTGGAGGACCTAGTATTGCTTGCCGGGTTCACGCAAGCGTGAGCCGGATGTGGATGGTTCCGCACCACTTGTGGCGTGCTCACGCGCCATGGGCCATGCGCGTGAGTTTTACGTCGCCAGGGGCCAAGCATCGTGGCTCTCGATGTATTTAGGGCCCTGAAACAGCCAGGTTTTGAGACGCCCAAACACCGATTCCCGGGGTGTCTACTGCAGGGGTCGGGTCTTCCATTGAAAGCCAAAGCCAGGAGCCTCTGGGTCAGGGAATGCGTTGGATCCCTCTTCAGGTGCCCGAAGGTCAACATGCCATTCACAAGCTCAGTGCATCTCAAGCTACCCTTATGGCATGGTTGTTGTTGGGAAACATTTTTACAATTTTTTGCTTCTTGTGGTTTAGTGGGAAATCCCCACTTAACTGCTAAAAAAACATTTTTTGCTCCCCTTCCAACGTCAACCAAGATGGTGGGCAACAAGCAGTTTTCCTTTTGGTTTTTAGAGGCTGGTTCCCTTTGTTACCTACTATACAGGTAAATGGGTCCGCTGGGAAGTGAAAGAAGGGCATGAACTTCGATCCCTCCCCTTTGCCTTCCCAGCACTTCTGGGAGGAATACGGGTCTCCAGCCAATGGCTAGGAATTTCAAACAGAACTTGCTGAACAATGGTCGACAGACGCAAACAATTCCGCCATGATGTCCAGTCCAGGGCATTGAGATTCGCAGACTGGTCGCCAAGAGACTCATGTCAAGGATCAGAGGCCGGCTTTCGCAGGTGGTGTCAGTCTGGAAGGTCCTCACCTCAAGATAGTATGTTTAGAGGCGCAGTACTTGGCGACAGAGGGGCAGTACTTGGCGACCTAGGCTGCAACACACTTGTAAGTCACTCCAAGCGAAGTGAGTGAGCCCATTAGCGGGTTACCACCCAAGTGGCCCAAGTATCAGTGTGACGTGAACCTCCGGGGGGTACCCCGGCGGTCCCCTTTTCAAGCCATCGCTCCACATCGACGTTTTGGGATCGGTGTCGCAGCAATTTTGGCCCGAAGCCTCTTGCGCCTGATACCCTCAAAGGGATTTCTGACCGCACGCAATGTCGGCCACCGGCCGCCCAGCTGCGCTGGGATTTTCAGGTCTGATGGCAACAGTGGGGCATGGATCCCTTCCATGTGGTTGTGTTCTTCTCCAAGTGTGGTTTTGAAGTGAATCTAATCACTACTGGAAATACCTCTCACCAACTAACATGGAAGTGCGCAAGGCCCCTTTGCAACAGAAAAGTAGTCTTTGTACCGGGGTCAGTGCACTTCCGTGTTGGCCGGTGCGAGGGTATGTTGATGTTAATTTCCAGGGGACGAAGCAAATGGATCCCTTCAGTACAAAGCCCTGAGGGCTCCAGTTGCTTCAGAATGTTATCCTTCTGTTGGTTTGAAAGGGACCAGAGGTTCACTCTCTTGACTGCTATTGGCTTGGATCTTTAGACTTTAACTTTTTGGGAAATAAAGGGTTTTCCACTAAACCCCCAAAAAGTTAAACTTTTTGCTCAGGGGTCAACAGCAACCAAGCTCTGTTGCCCTCAACGGGGTCCTGTGCGTGGGGGTGCTGCTATCGAATTGGTCTGCTCAGGACCATGCAAATCCTTCAACGGCATCTCGCCTGCATTTGGACAACGCGCTGACGCTTCAGGAAGAGGAAGCGGCATGTGCCAGAGGCGTCTTCGATGTTCACCCCACTTAGTGAGTAGGAAGCAAGATGACCAAATAGAGTCTCCATGACCCTTTAAAAATGGGGTCATTACCCTAAATAATGGGATCATGGACCTATTTTCAAAGGGTCATGGAGACACCAGTTAGTTTCAACTGACTGCTGGGTGGGCCACCTTCTAAATTACTTACCAAGTGGGGCTATGACTCATGCCTACTTACTCAACAGGGGTAGCCATCTTAGCCTTGGCTCGTTTGGGGTTCTGACCTACCGTTCCTAAGGATCATCCGTTTCGTGAGAGCCGAATCGCTCTGAGGCATGAAGGGCTGGGGCTTCATTGACTATGGCGGCCAGGACGAAACTCTTTTTGCGAGCCCCACCCCCCGGACCAGCGCACGAAACCACACCACCTGGCAAGCAGTTGTTGGGACCCGGGTGCTTGTGTTGGCACATGTTGGCCCCATGCGTTTAGGGGACGGGGCCGGAAGATGTCGCCTGATGTACCCAGTGTAGTAAAGCAGGGATGCGCGCGGACGGAGATTGGGTGCCCAACATTTGCCCTCGGACCCAGTCTGCGTTTTGGACATACTTAGGGGGTCTGAGGAATCTGTAATTGAGGAGTCCCCTTGCATCAAAGCAAAAGCCTTATCTGTGGGGAGCTTGAAACCCTCTGGCACAAAGTTGTGTGTGGTGTGAATGAGCCACGAGTCCATTTTGCGGCGTAGCCGAAGCCCTCTGATGTACTTCAGGTGAGGCGGTGTAGCTCTTAAGGTGCCAAGGTGGTTGGCTCCTGATGTTTTCAGCACGTGGCGGGCTCAAGGGTCTAAGGTCTAGTTCTGCAAATCCACTCGGGAAGTGAGTTTCGCAGTGAGTTTCCGGTGGGGGAAGCCTGCGGAATTATGGGGAATGTCTGGAAAACATCAGCGCTGAGATCTCGGTTCCTGAGTGTCTGGAACTCTAACAGGGGGGTCTTTTTGCCACCTTCTGTGAGACAAAAATTAGTGGATTCCTCAAAAAGGAATCCTTCACTGCAACGGGGGTCGATCATTTTTCCACCAAAGGTGGCAAAAAGACCCCGCTGACTGTAAACTTTTTGGGTTTGGACCATTTTGGTTACATGTTCTGGCCCATCTAATCGGGAAGAGAGGAATGGTTGGAAGGTCTGGCGCTTTTTCTTTTTTTCCTTCCGGGGCGAGTGATGGGCAAGAGGACCCAACATCCACGTCTCTTGTCGCCAAGTGTGCAATGGTTTGCCGGGATGCGTGCAGGACGTGTTTGTGCACATCAAGGACTGCACCGGAGGTCAGCCGGCTCCAGGTGACATGCACCTTGGCGAGTCAGAGTACGGGTCCCAAATGGGCCCGTGTTTTAGGGTAGCCCCTTTCTGGGGTCATGATTTTGACTATTTCTGGGGGTTAGGAAAGTCAGAAACTGGGGAGGTTTCCCTTTGAACCACCACTAGGGGGGTGACTTTGATAGTGGCAAAATAGTGGCGCCAGCCTTTAGGGAAACAAAGGTGGGCCATCCATTTTGGGGTTTCCCAAAGTTTGACTTCCCTCTTTCCCCAAGTTTGATACACACCCAAATGGTCAAATACGGCTTCCCTCGTGGGGTTGGTCGTGATGGCCGCTGAAAATTTTCGACCGTGTCCATTTGTTTCCTGGGCGAACTGAGGCGTGTGCCCGGTTTGGAGGGCACCGAGAGGTGGTTTTTTGTCTTTCGGGGGGCCCTAAAAAGACCGACCTGGAGTCTAGAATGGAACTTGATTTTAGAATATGATTCTTTTAAAATATTATGTGCAACTTCTGACCCTTTAGAAAAGAATGGTCCATGACCCGAAGCTCTTTTTATTTTAGCTAGTGACCAACCATTCTTTCAGAGTTTCAGAGTGAGAAGGAGACGCCAGGAACTGGGAAAACAGAAATACCCGTCCTCCAACATGGCGCCAGTGGGAGGCTACCTGGGAGATCAATTGACTCTCCAAGCAGCCCTCTGTCAAAAGGCAGGTTCGTGGAAGGGAGGGTAACTCTTGTTTTTTTTGGGAGGGGCGGGGGGGTCATCGAAATCTGAAAAAAGGACCTACTAAACCCATGAGCAGCTCGTTTTTTTGTGTATTTTCTTGTTTAAAATGCAAAACAATAAAAACCCAAAGTATTTTTGTGTATTTGTTTTGTATTTTTTTGTGTATTTTTTTTTTGGTTTGGGTCCTCTGAAAAAAGAGAAAAAAAACAACCACCCGGCCCCCCCCAGACCCCGCCGGGTTTTTTTGGTTTGGATCCTCGAGGCTGAGCTTCGACCTCGAGGAGTCCCAGCCGGGTAGGTTCAAGGCCAAGCCCCTCGGCGGATCCGGGCGCTCCTGGTCCCCGGGCGGCCCCTTCCGGGGGATTTTTTGTGGTTTCCGGAAAATAAAAATCGAAAGCCCCCCTGGTTTTTAGAGACTTTGGTGGGTTCCTATCAATGGAATATTCCCTCCTATAAAAATCAAGCCCTCTTTAGAAATATCCCACTGGCAAGAGTGAGTTTCAACTTTTTGTGGGGGGAAGGGGTGCGAGTCCTTTGAAGTCAACGACCAAAAAGGGACGCCCCTTTGTTTCCCATGGCCACTGGGCATCTGCGATAGGGCGTCCGATTCGGGTTTAGGTGGGGGTGCATCGCTTTTGGAGAGCACCCCCAAATCAATAAACAGGGGTTGATGAATCGAAGGTCAACATTCCTCACTTCCTGAGTTTATGGACTTCAGTCACTTTTTTGAGAAAACCATTTTGGTTGTAAATATAGACAGTTGGGCGAATCCACTCGATCGGGGAGTTTTGGCGCTCGATCGGTAAACACAAAGTGTGTATATATATATATACTTCCCCAGAATTAGCTCTTTTTGTTTGCTTTTTTGGGGTCCCTTTGTTTTCCACTAACCAGGCAAACAAGATAATTGTTTGCTGGGGTCCTAGTTCCAGCCTAGTATATATATATATATATATCTATGTGTGTATCTATATTCCTCTTTATGCGGCGAAAGGCAGCCCCGGGCCCAGCTCGGAATTTCGGTTCGGTTCAGTTGGGTCGTGTGGTCTTTCCTTTCGGTGGGGAAAGGAAATCCCTAGGGTTCTTTGCCTGCCATTGAAAGAAAGGTTAACACCCAATTGTTTGGTTCATTTGTTGATTTGTTTGGATCAGTAAGCGGTTGGGCCTTTTGAAGTTCAGTTTGTTCAGTTGGTCTTTGATTTCTTTTGGTTTAGTTTGGTCAAGTCTTACTTGCCCCAGTTTCTGCTGTGCGGTTCAACCGGTTTCGATTAAAACAATGGCCTTGGGAACCAATTTGGATGACAATCCTTAGGTAAACAATGGTGGTTATATGAGCGCAACCATTATTTTAATCATGGTTTGAATCCCAGGGAAATAGCAAGTCTCACTTGTCCCGGTGCTGGACTCTTGATTCGTCAGCATTTGGTGCGTCTAGGGGTTTCTTGGATTCCCCACCCCTTGGAGTCAGGAGAGTGGGCAACCCCTGGAGGTCTCCGTTTCTATGATCCCTTCAGTGGAGAAGGCTTAGCAAATAAGGCTGGGTCAACATTTGGTAGTATCCTTTAACTATCATAGTAGATGCAAATATATATATATATATACCCTCCCTCCAACAATCATGGAAGTTGACAGGAGAGCTTTGGAAGACAATTTTCCTTTTGGGGAACCCCTTTGTGCATTTCCATGATTGTTGGAAAGAGGGTACATATATATATATATATATATATATCTCTTTGCCCCTCTAGAAACAATGATCCTGCTTGAACTCCCCGTCCTCTCCCCCCCGTTAAGTTGCGTCCATTTGCTTAGGAATACGTGTTATTCAAAGCTGGTTGTAAAGGGAATCTATCACGACTGTCAGGCATTCGGATTGGTGGTTTGGATTTGGATATGAACCCCTGGTTCTTGTAGAGGGTAAATGGAACACCCCCTAAATCAACCCACCAAGTAACAAACAGCTGAACTACTGGGGACGAAACTCACTTGCCGGCTTCCTGTTTTTCCGTGGTTCGTCCTTTTTAGGTCATGGCCCCAAAGGGCCAACCTTTTGTTTTGAGCAACCTGGAGCCTCCATGCCCCTCAGCAGTGGGGTCATGCCCCCTCTGTTTTGGGTGCTGCCCCCCTGTTTTAAGGGCTGAAGGAACTGAGCAAGCGGGCTCAACGATCTCCCAGGAACGTGAACGGCGGCACCGCCCCGCGCGACCAGGACGCCATGATGGGCAAGGCGCGGAAACATGTGGGTGGGTGTCTTGTTTTGAGGAGTTCCCTGAGTGGGGGCTCTTCTTTTGTTGGGTTTGTGTGTGTGTGCGTCTATGTTTGTCTCGTGTGCGCGTTGGTGAAGGTGCCGATTGGAGGCATGACCATGACGCACGGAAGGAGTGCTGACCATAGCACAGTTGTGCCTTGGTCGTTGGCTTCAGGATGGTGAAAAACCATGTGGAGAACGCCACGAGTTTGTTCCTTTTCTTGCTTTAATACATATATATATATACATACATATATATATATTGATGCAACTGTGTGTTATCTTCATTCACTTAGTTGGACGCCCAAACCGCAATTTCCCCCGTCTTTTTGTTGCAAATCTGCAAAGGCGCAAAGGCCGACTTTGCGCGTGCGCGAAGGCACCGTTTTGTGTCAGACGTAAGCACTGGGTGTATTCCGAGGGGAGGGGTCTTTTGTTCAGCCAGTCCCCCACTTAGAGGGACCCAGGGTTCTGTCATGGGTTCTCAGCCATGAGCGGCGCCAAGACAGCCTAGTGACTCTAGGTGCGTTCCGGCCATGGGTCATATACTTTCCATGGCCGGAACGCTCCAAACCAGGCTCCAAACCAGAAAAAAATGGAAGGAAGCTGAGCAAAAGGGAACTCCAGGTCCAAGAACCTCGTATCTCGATATTTTGCGGATTTCAGGAATCTGTAATTGACCTTGTTTGTTTCCCTTGAATCAAAGCCAAAGACTATGGGGGATTCTTAGGACCCTCTGGGAATAGTTGTGTGGTGTGGATGAGCCGCGAGTCCATTTTTGTGTAGCAGAAGCCTACCCTTCTCCAGGGGTGCTTGTACATACCCCTTTTACATACCCTGCGGGCAAATGAACCCAAAAGGCCTGCTGATGTTCATACCCCTCTTCCCCAATGGGGTTTCTGCCCCTTATTCAGCGGGTTGGAAACCAGGGAAGCCAAGGAACCGGTATGAACAAGGGGCACTTTGGAGCATTTTGCCAAGGGATGTCAGTTGGCTTCAACTTTTTTCGCCCACCCATGGGTTTTCCGAACTCAGCCACCATACTTTGGAGCATTTTGCCAAGGGATGTCAGTTGGCTTCAACTTTTTTCGCCCACCCATGGGTTTTCCGAACTCAGCCACCATACTTTGGAGCATTTTGCCAAGGGATGTCAGTTGGCTTCAACTTTTTTCGCCCACCCATGGGTTTTCCGAACTCAGCCACCAAACTTTGGAGCATTTTGCCAAGGGATGTTCGGGCGTTTCTTCTTTTTGCCAACTAATTTGGGTTTTCCGAACTAAACCACCAAAAGTTAGTCAACTTTTGGCCGGGGCTTCGCGGATTTTTCGCCGAGGGTACGTGGCAGGTCACCCCCGTGGAAGGCACCGGCGCCTACACCGGCGGGGCCACTGAGAGTTGCCGGTTGCGGGGCGGGCGGATGTCTGACGTTCTGGGCTAGGTGAAGAAAGGTTTGGTGGTTTGGTTGCAAAGGAGACCTAGAGCAAAAAACCCTTTTCATCTTTTTGGGCGAGCCCAAGGAAGGTTTGGTTGCAGAGGAAATCATACTCTACTGCTATTGGGTTGGATCTTTAGACTTCAACTTCTTGGATTCCCCTCATGTGTCCTTTTAACCGGCAAAAAAAAGTGTAACTTTTTGCTCCGGGATCCGCACCCAAGCCATAAAGCAGCCCTTTTGGAAGGCGCGAGGCCGATAAGGAGACTAAGCCCAGGGGTTGGGCCTATTCAATGCTTGGAGGTGCATGGGGGGGGGTGTTGTGGGGTCCGCCCTGGTGTTTTTGTTTGCGCAAACTATGACGAGCCCAGCAAGCGGCGCACGAACCATCGGAGCACATGAAGGTGCGGTTTTAAGGGTGTTCCCTGGTCCAGCTTCAGAACAGCGGTTTGCTCACTATTTGCAGTAGGGGCACCATACGTCTTTGCAAGCTTGTGTTTGGTACGGCCCATACGAGCCAAGCCCGTAATTACATGGAACTGCAAACTTGGACAGAAGCGGCCCGAAGCCTGAAAAGGACCTTGCCTGCCTTTCCCTCTATGTGAACCAACCAGAACCAACCACAACACGCCGTGTTGTCGTGTCTGTTTCTCGGTCAATTCCAGGGGCGTCCCTTTGCCCCCTACAAAAGGCGTATGTTGGGCACCCCTGCCCGTAGGCCTCACGATCCACACGACTCAGTCGCTGCCCGCCCGAGGCTCCGTCAAATCCTTCAACGACCGGGCCTCGGAAAAGTGGGTGGGAAGTTTGATCGTTGGGTGTGAGACTAGGCACCCTTGGGTTCAGTTGCCACCATTAAAACAATGGTTGCGCTCATATAACCTAAGGACTGTCATCATCCAAATTGGGTCCCAAGGCCATCTAATGGGGGTTGAACCCTAGGGTGTATATTTATATAAGATCCAACGCCCTTTTTATACCAGTCCAGCGCATGGTGGTGAAACTAAGAGACTCCAATGTCCAAGCACCTTCTTAGGATGTACTTAAGGGGTCACAAAGGGGTCAAAGTACATGGCAAGTTGAGAGCCCCAGGGTTCCTTTCGGAGGCTTCGGGAACCCCCCCCTTTGGGCCAACCCCCCTGCGGGACTTCGTAAACAAGTCTCCGGCTCTTATCCTCCGGCGTTACGCGATAGAGAGGCACTTGCGCCATCTATTTTCACCCTTGCGGCACCATTCCTCCCGCTGAATAGGGGTACATCTGGGGAGCCCTGCTTTTTCTAATATGAAAAGCAAGAATCTTCCTGAAGCAGAAGTGCCTTCATGTGTCCCCTCAGGTGGACACTGAGGGCAGACCTCGTTTGCATGTGTATTTGGCTATTAGTTGGCTTTGCTTGAGAACCCACAAGCAGTTTGAAGTGTGTATGCTGTGTTTCTGTGTCAAATGATCGCCGGAAAGAAGCGGTCAACAGTTAGAGAAGTAGATGGCATGGTTCACTGCAGCCTGCTGACTTTGCGTCACATGCAGTACTGCACTTCGCCCTGGAGATACTGCTTGAAACTTTTAGGGCTCCAAAAAGAGCCCGGGTCTCCTTTTTTAATGGTAGCCCCGGATCATGCAAGCCCTGGTGGATTAACATCGGACCACGTTTGGAGGGAACCCCCCCCTAGGAATGGGACGGGTTGATTGCTCCTGCGTCAACCTTCGCCGCCAAGCCGCATGAAAGGCTGACCGAGAAGCTGAGGCGCCGAGGTCGCCTGACCGAAGCTGAGGTGCAGAAGGGCTTCGGCTTCATTTCCATGGAGGGCGGTCAAGACGTCCGGGCCCCCAAACCTCACCGAGGCCGAGGCCGGGGGTCTTTGGGGCCCCCGTTTTTTTTTTCTTCTGGCAAGCCAGGCCATGGTTCTAGTTGGGTTTTTTGGGGTTGACTGGAAATCACTCCCCAGTTGATGGGCCGATGGTTCCAAACAGCTAGGGTTTCGGGAACTCACTTTTTGTGATTGAAGTGGACCCCATTGTTTTTCTTCTCGCAGAGGTTAATGGCTTTCTTTGGCAGCACAATGGTGATTTGTCCGAAATATTTGACCCTTTTGGACCCTGGCCATTTGCCGTTGCCATTAGGGTCCAAAGGGGATCCGTAGATCCTTCCTTTCAGCTCCCTTCATTTCCGTGCACTTCATGTCATATTTTAATTCATTTCACGTCGTTTCATTTCCCCGGACTTCCTCTTCGTTTTCCTTCTCTTCCGCTCGTCTGGATTTTTTTGAACATTTTCCCTGGATTTGTTTTTCGCTCCCTTCGTTTTCCCTAAATTTTTGCTGGAATTCCCTGGTGGAATTTCCGAAATTCCCACGATGTGTTTCTCCATTTTAACCTCACCAGGCTCGTCAATGGCCCAACGGGGGTGGCAACAAGCTCACAGAATGAGCTCCAACAAAAACTGAGACCCCGAGAAGGATCCATGACGGTTTAGGTTGGCCTGGCCAAAACACGAGGGGCTGGCGCGTCAAGCGCGAGCTCACTGAGGTCTTCGTCCACATGAAGGGCTGCGTAGGCCTGTGGGATGCACAGAGTACAAAAACAAATCTCCCACTGGACGTGATTTTCGAGGCATCTTCCCAGAGGGGCCCCACGCATGTTAGACGTCCGATTCCCACATTGAGAGCCCCCGCGAATCAACTTGAAGGGGAGGCCCTCGTCAAAAACCAAAAAAATGACCAAGAGCAGAAGGAGAGCGGCCTCTTTTCTTTCCGGGGTTGCATGCGGTTGCATGCATTGAGGGAAGCTTCACGTGCGCACCATATGTCCGCAGACATTATCCCACGCACCTTTTTCACCACAACTCTTGAGGGCATTTGGGCCAATCATTTGGGCGTGTCAAAATCAGGAGGCCGCCCCCCCCAAAAAAAGAAAAGAAAAAACAGCAGAGTGGCTTGCCCTTGCTTTCCCTTCAAGGCCAGCCCAAGCGACGCACCAAAGTACGCAGGCACTTTGCCGAATGCTGGCGACATCGTGAAGTTCGACATGGAGCCAAGCCCCACCAAGCCCGGGCAGCCGCTGGACTTCTTATTACTTGGTGGGGGAACTCTGTAGTGGTAGGTAAGGTAGGTAAATAAGGTAAGGGAGGCAAGGTAGTAAGTAAGGTAAGGTAGGCAAGGTAGGTAAGTAAGGTAAGGGAGGCAAGGAGTCAGCATTGCCACCCTTCAAAGTTCCAAGGATTGATGTCCGTTTTGCCCTAGGCCCTCCGCGGGATTGGTTCGGGTGGTTGGAATCCCCACTCGATTCAGCTCTTCCGGCGAAAGTCTTGCCCCGTGTCCCGAGGTTCCAGGCCAAGAACGTCACCGGTGGCACCGCTCCCTTCCAACAGCCTGGCATGATGGGCCCGGGGCTCGGTGTTTTTTTGTTTTTTTGTTTCTCGCGCGAAGCGGGGAGAAAAATGGCCGCCGTAGGCGGCGTGGCAGGGGGTTTTCTTGGGTTGAAAAAGGGCTCCGGGGCCCTGAAATTCAACCGCCGCCCCAAGCCCCAAGCCTTGTTTGATCCCAGGTTTGGGAGTGAGGTCCCTTAAGACCTTACTAGGCTCATGGTCCGATGCTGTCGGATGCAATAACATTCATTTGTTGTTCCTCCTTGGTTTTTTGGGACCAAGTACCAAACTTCTTCTTTGTGTTCGTTCGATTGGTGGGGATGTTAAACTGGCTCTTGAGGGTAAACGGACAACCACCCCCTCACCAAACCACCGATTCGGCTCAGAGGAAAGCTGAAGACTCGAAAGCCGCTTACGGGGCCGGAAGGCTGGGTAGGGAGCCTGGAGGGAGCAAAAAAGAAGTTCTGGGTAGGACATAGTCTTTTTCCAGCAATTGGTGCCCTTTCTAGCCCCTTTTTTGGTTGGGAGGGGTCGGGACCCTACCAAAATAGACTACAGACAAAAAGGGTACCCTTATTCTATCCTCTCCACTGGAGGACCTAGTAGTAGTGTTGGTTGCTCCAAGAGCGGTTTCCGATCGTTTCAATGCACCCCACCTGTAATTTGGTCGTCGTCGTGCCAGGGTTCTCGACTTGCAACGCTCCAATGGGTGAGTTGGATTTGGTGCTTTTCCCAACAAAGCCCTCTGCAAGAACCAGGGGTCCAAGCACATGGCACCAACAAGGCGACCGTGTTGTCCCGCCACAGGTTTTCATGGAATCTTTGAGGGGGCTATGGGGGGGGGGTAAGCCCTTAATAAGGCCTTATTAAGGGCCTAATAAGGAATAGCCCCCCCTCCCCATAGACCCCTTGCGGGTCCATGAGGTTTCTAAGAAAGGCAACGATGCCTTTGAGCCACTAAGGCGGCATGGGCAAGGGCTACGGCATGGGAATGATGGGAGGCGCGGCAAGTCGTCGCTAAGCAGTAGAATCATGGGAACCCCTTGGTTGATTCTGGTATTCCTCACTTTTGGGGGACCCACTCCCTACTACTACGCGTAATAGGATGGGATTGCTAGTCCGGGGTCGACATCACATGAACGAAAAGGTTCACATGACGTCAAACAAGCAGGTTGTTTTGGAGCCGACCGAAAGATGAACAGCATTCAGCCAGGCAGGTTTGAGGGTTGGAATTTGACGGCATTCAGCAAGGCAGGTTTGAGGGTTGGAATTGGCACCAGAAGTTCACTTTTTCTTGCGCCTTGGCCAAACCCTCATTGAACTCATTTGGGGTGGTTTGCCGCGGGCAGAGTGTTGTTTGTAGCTAAACCCGCAAACAGTGCGCAACAGTTCGCTCCCGCGGTTTTTTGCTTCTGACAGGGTTCCAACTATGTTTTGCCATCATCATTCGGACAGGTGTTTTTGTCTCAGTGTAAACCGTTTGTGTTTGTACCATGTTTGTAGGTCAGAACTTTGTTGGCCAATCCAAATCCGCTTGTTTTGGAAGTGGTTGTCTTTAGTGGTTGACGCCTGTCACAGCGCTTGCTAGTTTTCAGTAGGGCATGAGGCAATCACCCCTCTAACTCCAAACCATTCCTTGCAGTGTTCTTTACGGGGATCCCAAAACGGATTATATAGTCCTGAAACCCCTTGTTGATTCCTGACTTCAAACAGCAAGCCAAAGGGGGCGGTTTCCACAACAGTTGGACCCCTTGTCCTCCATTTGCTGAAATGAATATACTTATTTTCCCTTGTTGGTTTTAAAAGGAATTCATCACTCGGTTGCCCAAAGCCGGCCTTTTGACCTTTCGGTTTCCCTGATTTGGTCCATGTTTAGAAAAGGTCCCAACAGGTTAACCTTTTGTTTCCAGGTCCTTTCAGCAAGTAAGTCACTACTGGACATATTTTATCATTTTTCCTGGGGCCGAAAAACCAAATGGAAGTTGTTCACTTTGCTTCAGACTCGCCAGGCATGGGTATGATGGGTGGCCTCAAGGGAGGCATGATGGCAGGAGGCACGCTGGACTTGGTCGTGTTGAACAAAACAAAATGCCCGGAAGAAAGCAAGTGAATGTTGTGTGTTCTTGGACAAGTTTGGATTTTGCACCAGGGTTCCCGGAATTTAAACAACAAAGAGGGTAACTTTGGCGGGTTCTCCACTAAACTGGAATTATCCACGAAAAGAGATGTTTTGTTTTTTGTTGCTACTTGTGCCAATCAACCCCAAAAAGAACGGATCATAATTTGTTTACCTTTCGGGTCCTCGCTTGTGCAAAGCAAGGGCTCACGTTTTGCTTCAGCTTTGGCCCATGTTTAGTCAAACCCGGGGTAGCCTGAAGCAAAACCTGTTCGGGAAGGATCTGAAAGACTACCGCAGGACACTTTGGTGGGTGCTTTTTATTTCCTAGGGGAAAGTCGCTTGGGAGCTGAATTTGATAGTGGCAAGATAATGGGGTCAGTAGGGGCCAAATTTTGATTTGGAGCATTCTTGGTCAAGGGCACAAGGGATAACTTATGTTAGGTCAGTAGGATTTTGGATTCCTCATTGGGTTGGATAAATGGTGACTCGTGTAAAACGAGTGCCAAAGTGGCAGAACTGACATTTTGGGCGTGGCGATTCACGTTTTCATGGCAGTTTGGTGACCCTGCAATTCCTTGCCCCCTTGAAAAGAGTGGCAAGGACCCAATTTGGATGAACAACATCCTTAGGTTAGTGGTAGTTATATATAAACCCAACAATTGTTTTCATGGTGACTTACACCAGGGGTGACATTTTCCGCGGGAAGGGGGGTGGTCTGTTTTTTGGGGCAGCGAAACGAGAAAACGTCGGAGCGTTGGTCTGGCGAGGCATGATGGGCCCCTACGGCAAGGGGAAAATGGGCAAGGGCGGCTATGGCGGCTACGGAGGATACGGCTGGCAACGCGGCACGCAATTCTTTTTGTGACCCCCATTATTTAGGGTAATGGCCCCATTGGTAAAGGGTCATGGGGACTCTAGGCTGTCCTTTTTTTTTGAAGCACGGGCAGGCAGGGATTTGTTTGTGAAGTTGCAAGCGCCTAAGAATTGATGCCTTTTTTGGATCTGTGGCTGCAAAAAAAATCCAAAGCTGCACGGCAGCATTGCCCAGCGAAGGGGGTGTAGAGACAACGGGGTCCTGCATAAATTGTTTGAGAAACAAGCTGCAGGAGCTTCTGCAGGAAATTGGCTAGACACCCACACCATTCACCAACAAGGTATTCGGTATGGGGTATTCCCATTGCTCTAGGGGCTGATTCCCCCTTCTTTTCAACCATCGTTCTTTTCAATGACCAGGCGGAGGTTTTCTAGAAAGAAGGATCCCTGGAAAGAATGGGCAAGATACCCTTCGAATTGCTGGGCTCTCGATTGCTGGGGTTTCTCAAATTCTCAATATATTGGTGCCCTAGGCTCGGCTCCCCGTGAAGTACCAACCAAAAAGGGGGTTCACTCTTTGAGAAACCCTTAAGCGGTATGCTGCTTGTTTTGCTCACCCCCACCCCCCTTGCAAATGGAATTGGGGGAGGATGGGGTGAGTAGATTACATGTATAGTTGATTGTCCTTTTTGTGGGGAAGACTAGATAACTGGACTTGGTGGACCCACCCTCCTGCCCCTGAAGGTAGGGGAGATTGTTACAGTGACCGTTTGGACTGGCAGCCTGCCGGTGCATCGGAAGCGCAAGCTGTGGGTATGGCACTGAACATTCCAAGGAAGCCAAGTGCAGGAGATGGAAATGGCAAAGTTCTTGTGCTACCTTCCCCATTTGTTTGCAGGGATCCGAATCTTTCTAGAAAACCTCCGGAAACCCAGGGAAACGGATCCGGTTTTTGAAAAGAACGAAGGTTGAACAGAATGGAAAAGAAAGCAACCTTTAGAAAAGTCAGCTGCTTTCTTCCGTTATTTTGGCTTGGCTGAGGTAATCTGCTCCGTCTTAGCTCTGAGAGCACTTCGTGCTTCTTCGCGCGCGGATTCGGCACAAAGGGGCGGAAAGACGGCTGAGGGTTGGCCTCACGCGGCGTCATTAAACACATATCCTGATGGCCTTCAACAATAGGCTTGCTGAAAAAAAACCAAAATCATAAAACGAGGAAAACACATAATTCCCTTAAAGGAAGCTATAGGGGATCGTTTTTTAGAGGTCATTCCAACTCTTTCCCTGCTAAGAGCCAGTAAGTAATTGTCCTGTACGGATCTTGGGGGAGCGATTGGGAACCGTGGCTCGTCTTAGGGATAGACGGCCCACGGTGGAGTTCAGATGAGCTTGTCTCAAAATCGCGCTCGGGTTTTCTACTCCCAAAACAGGTGGGTTCCTTTTTGTTTGCCTTTAACATAACCCCAAAAAGGGTAGCCTCAAAAAGAGACTCGCTCATGCATATTTATGCTTTCCTTTTAGCAAGGGTCAAGTATTGCAGTGTCATGGCCAGCATTGTGTTTTGTAAGCAGAGGTTGGGAAGCCTGTCAGCCCCGATGTGGACCGATCTTTTGCCACTATCCCGCCGCTTGTGCTTGCAATTCGGTGTTCAATACGATTTGGGTGTTGAACTGACGTCAAGCCCAGTTCTAGTGCACAAGCTGCGTGGTACGGCGCGTGCGAGGGGGCTGACCTCTCCATGGGGTCAGTAGGGGCAGGCAGACCCCGTCCCCTCGCCTATGGCGAAATGCGGCTTTTCATCGGCCACACGCTAGGCCGGCAGTTTTTGAGTAACAAGGCGAGTGCCACTGTTAAGGCAGCTGAGGCATGTCACCATGCCAAGTGCCGGAGCGCGTGCCTGATGTTGGACTAGTGCGACTATGCCTGCCAGCTGAGCCAATGAGAACCCAGTTGATCAAAGCAACACTGCAGAGTGAGGGCATACCCTTTAGAGAGGGGCCTTCACTGGGGGCAACCGCACCCATACTCCGCCTGGTTGATGAATTGGGCCATTTCAGTTTGTTCGCTCCAGCTGCAGGCTACAAATGTTGTGACTCACGTGCTCACCGCGGACCAGGGAAAACTCTCGGCGCGAGAGACGGTGGTTGACATGTGTTTGGAGTCCAACGCTTCGCAGAGTTGAACCACAGCTTTGCCCAAATCAGCTCGGGGGTGCTGCGGAGCGGGTTGCAGGGAGAGTTCCGAAGAGTTCAGCTGGGATGATCATTTGTGTTTGTGGCTTGCTGTTCTGGTTTTGTTCTCTTTTAGTGGCTGTGGGCTGCAAAGAGCGAACGGTGTTTGCTAGAGGGGGGGGGAGAAAGCCAGCATTTTGAGGTGTCGTGCCAGTCACGCCCGGATCGGTGCCTAGGACAGGCTGCGGATGCTGGGAAACCAGGGTACATTGCCAGACTTAGCACTGGAAGGCAGGAAGTTTGAACCCGCCTGTTGTTTGGCAACATACATGAACCAAACATGATGTCAAACAATGGGAACTGGCCGAGGGGTGTCGCCTGTCAGTCGGGATTCATCACAATAGGGGCCACCCCCCTGTTAAAAAAAAGGACGGGTTTAGTAATCCAGGGTCTTTAGTTCGCACCAGGGGGCGTTTTCACACACCCTTTTTAGATCCCCAGTTGGAGATGTGCAGGGTCCCGTAAAAATTGCTGATTAGGGGAGGGGGGTAATTCGTGAAAATCTCCAATTTTGGTTCCATTTTCCTCGACCCCCCACACCCCTCCCCCAGAAGGTAGGGGGACAAATGGATGTGGATAAATGGACACCCCCGCCCCCCCCCCCCCCCCTTCAATTCACCCCATGCTTTTGCACAATTGCTCACTTTCTGAGTTGCTGGACTTTAAACTTTTTGGGAAGATCGTTTTAGTGCATGGTAAATAACAGGTGTGCTTACTCTTTTGGCCAATCCGCTCGATCGGAAGTGCGATTGTAGGCATAATTGGCAACCAGGGGAAAACATAATATCAAGAGGAGGGACACCCGGGTTACCTGCTATAGTGGAAGCTCAAAGGTCACCACCCCTTGAATCTTCCCTTTGGCGGGTTGGACTTGAAAAATGGAGATGGGGACCCTGCAACAAACCTATTTGCATCTCAAACTCAAGCTCTCCTTACAGGAGACCAGGCATGTGTGAAGCCGTCTTAATGTGGGGGGGGGGGGGGGGGCTGGAAGCTTAGGGAATGTTTTGAAAGATCCATATGGCTGTGGGTCAAAACCAATGGTACCATTTTGGTTGGTAGGCACCACCCATTTTGGAACCTTTTTTTCTTTTAGTGCTTGGATTGAATGGCATGTTCACTGGGGGATAACCGGGCTTTTGGGCTTTTGAAAAGCCCATGGCCATCTGGCGATTTTGGGAGGGACCCCGGAAGGATTGGGAACCGGGATGGAATGCCTTGATCCCCAGACATGCCACGCCGGACATTAACGGGGATGGTCATCCTGGTAAGGATTTTGAATAACCATTGTATACATTCACATGGTTGTCGTTGGGACACATTTTTCCAATTTTTGCTTATTGCAGTCAGTTTAGTGGAAAATTTGCTGCTAAAATTTAAATTTTGCTCCCCGTCCAACGTCAATCAAGTGATTCAGCCCTAACAGCCCCGGGCAACTCCGGTCAGGAGATCCCTTTGCGCAAAGCTCGCCCGGCATCACCGAGATTGCCAGAGATTGCCAGAGCGAGCGCAGGCCTTGGTTCAGACTTGTCCAGTACTGCTCGTTCCCATGTTGGTTTTAAAGGGATGGTGTTTAACCACTAATCCGTTCCCCCTATTAATAAATACGCCCCCCCCAAAAAATACAAAAAAGAACAAACACCTCCCAACTACATATATATATATATATGGGTGTAGACTCATTAAGAGTTCCCCCTGTTGCTACATTGGCATTATTGCCATATTGATATATTATATATATATGGTTGCGTGGGTTCTACAGCAGCGTCCAGATGTTCAGGCCCCCGCAACAGGCTCGCTTCAGGCTCGAGATCACTTGCCTGTTTCTGCTGTTTGTGTTGTGCCATGGAGTTCACCATATTTATTTACAACTTGGTCAGTGGGTGGCTTTTGGAGCACGAGCAGCGGCGGGTTGCCGTCACGACAGTTTGGCTTCATCGTCGTATGGGTGACTGGCCACGTGGTTTCAGAAGGGTCGTGTGTTAGTTAGGATACGGGGTGCACGGACGTTGATAAATTCAGGGTTTTATGTTTTGTTTGTTTGAAATGAACCTTTTCGGTTAAGGCTGGTGACGCGTGCAGAATCTCAATGGCGTGAGATGGATATGGATGTGGCTGTCCGGCAATCACTCCCACCGCCAGCACCGCAGCCCAGAGTTCCGCGAGTGAGTCGTGCTAGATTCAAGATCCCGAACGAGCCGACAGGTCCGCTTCGTTTCATTGGCAGGTAGAAGCCTAGCACATAGAGCCAAGATTGCGTTGTTGCTTTTTGAAAATGAGGCGTGTTGCTTGACCTTGTAAGCACAGTTTGAAGGTTAGCTTCTGCGTCTCTGAAGCTGTTTCCCAAGATGCCCAAACCGTATCCATTCATGTAGTCCTTGTCTGTTTCACCCCCCGCATATTCATGGACATCAATAAATTCATACAGAACTTCAAGGAAGATGCATTCGCTTCATCTGCGGCCTTTCAGAAGCACGTGGTCTACACGCCATTGAACTGTCAGCCACTGAAAGATTCAGAAGCGCTGAGGGCGCTGTGCGTTTTCATGCATTTTCAGATGGTGAACGCACCCAGCAAGTGTCTCAAGTGCGGGGGCAAGTGCAAGTTGATACAAGGCCGTTCACCTGATGAACTGATGTGGGTCTGCCAAGAGGCAACGGGCACTAAGCACTTCCGACACAGATTTCAGGTACCCGCGTTGCCAGAGCTCAGGGTCAACAACCTGCTGGCCTTTCTTCACTTCCTCGTTTTCATGCGATGCAACGAGCGCATCAAGCGCATTATTCAGGAGCTGAGAGATGCACACAACACAAGCAAAGCGTCCATAGCTCGCTGGCAGAAGCTGTACCACACTGCACTGACTGCTTTCGTGGAGTCCAAGAACATCAACAAGATAGGTGGCCCCAGCGAGCGATGCGCTGTAGATGAAACTGCTGTGGGCAAGGTGGGCAAGATGGTGGGCAAAAATGGCACCGCTCAAGGTGCTTTTCAAAGAAACCCAGTTCGCATTCGTGCGCGCAGGCCTTGCAAGACACTGTGGAAACCTGGTGCGAAGTCGTTCCCTAAGCCAATGAAAGCTGGCTCGTCGAAAGACAAGAGAAGCAACAAGGCTACGCAGTGGGTCTGGCTTGGTGTGCAAACTGGCAAGGATGGACAAGCTCCCCGCACACATGCAAGTGGCACCAAGCGTGTTGCCATGGAAGTACTCCCAAGTGCGTCTCAAGCACCTGGGAAGAAGCCTCGCGGCGCAGAAGTCCTTGAGAAGGTGCTCTCCACCCGCTTGCGATCCCGCACAAAGTTGACTGCTGATGGGTGGAAAGCTACAGAGAAGGCTGCTTCTGCTTTGCAGATCCCACTGAAGACCTGCAATCACAAGAAAGAGTACCGCGCCAAGGATGGCAGTCACACCAACGATGCTGAGAGTGAAGTGGCGCGCTTCAAGAAGTGGGCGCGTTCCAAATGGACGCAGGTGAGATCTCTCAATGTCAAGGATGTCGATGCCAAGCAGGAGCACTTGAGAAGCAAGATCAATGAATATGTGCTGGCGACCAACAGATCATCAGTCAATGGCCACATCTCTATGAAAGATGTGCTGGCAGCATTCAGGTGTCAAAACGACACGACTTTGTACAAGCCTGTCAGGCTGTGAGCGCAAAAGCGTGCTTTGCGGCTCCCCACGGAACTCTTGACGAGTTTTGACCGATATATATATATATATGTTAAATTTGTTTTTTGGGGTTGTTTTTTTTGTGTTTCCAACAATGTGAGGGTTCACATAGGATTTGGAGGAAATGGATTGAATTGTAAGGTCCGCGAG